ACAGATGGGCAAGCACAATTACACTGGTAAATTTAAGAAAAATAGCATTATTGAAGAGAACAGCAGAATATCATTCAAGAAATATGACTGGTGATGGACATAAACTCAAAAACTATAACAGTAAGTTTTCTGTTTTTTAAACATTTAATTATTTGTTGAATAGCAATATGATACAGTAGATGGAAGGTGGAATGGGTCTTGAATTTGGACTTAGCCTTGAATTTAGGACTATCTGCCTCTCACATGTGCTACCTGTGTGACAAGTCACTTAATTTCTCTGAGTTTCAATCAACTCTAAGACTGGAAGTTAAAGGGGAATTGTCAAACTGTAGTAGTGGAAGGAATTTACCTACTAAGATTCTCCTCTAGCAATGATTCTTAACCTGGGGTAGGTGATTTTTTTCATATTTTAATAACTATTTCAATATAATTGGTTTCCTTTGTAATCCTACATATTTTGTTTTGTGCATTTAAGAGCATTATTCTAATAAGTGTCCACAGGTTTTTTTTTGTTTTGTTTTGTTTTAGGCAATTGGGGTTAAGTGACTTGCCCAGGGTCACACAGCTAGTAAGTGTCAAGTGTTTGGTCTGAGGCTGGATTTGAACTCAGATCCTCCTGACTTCAGGGCCGATGCTCTATCCACTGCACCACCTAGCTGCCCTGAGGATCCCTAGGTTTTATCAGACCATCAAAGGTGTCCATGAAACAAAAAAAAAGATTAACAATTCCTGCCCTATAGTGATGAAATCAGAGATCTGAATCAACTTTTCCGAGCATTTACTTGCAAAACTGTGAGAATCTGGACTGATATAAAGAAGCAAAGAAAGGAACAAATATTTAAGATTTTGTGACATTTGACTAATTTACAGATTGGAACCCCAAAACAATTTATCTTGGTCAAGGGATAATTTTCTCTCGATGCTCATTTGAAAGGTAGAGTGAAAAACAAAACAAAAAAAAAAAAACAGAAAAAAACCCCACTGGATTTGGGCATCAACTTTATTAGCTATATTCCTAATTAACAGTATGACACTGAGGGAGTCATTTTAGCTCTTCACTCCTCTGTATGAAAAAAGAACAGAATATACAAGATGAGTGACAAGGTAACTTCTATCTAAAAAATATTCTATGCTCACAGGTATCTCAGTTTGTTCATTGGTAAAATAAACGGGTAAATTATGTCTAAGGTCCCATGTAGCTCTACATTTCTATGAATTCCCTCCAAAACCTTCCAACCAAAATTTTTAAAAAAACATAATGTCTTAAATTTATCTATTTATGTTTTGGAGAGTTTTTTAGACTAGATAAATTATTCCAAAGGTGTATTAAACTCCCAGGGTAGAAATTCCCACCACCAATGCAGATTCTCAACTCTTCAGCAATTTAAATGAGAAGTGACTTGTCCAGGGACCTATGGTTAAGATGATGCAGGACTTGAAACCAGGTTTTCCTGCCTCCAAAACTCACCCTCTATCCACTCCACCATATTAAATGCTGAATATTAAAATACTAACATTTTACTCAACCAAAAATATAAAATCTTCTGCATGTAGCATATTTTGCTCAAGAGCTGATACAAAAGCAAGCAGCACTCAAGTGTATGAACTAGAAATTGAACAAAAATTAGGATTTGTATATCACCACAAGAATTGTATAATGTCATGAAATGAGTCAATAATGGAACTATAAATTAAACTAATAGTTTCTTATTCATTCTAGTCTTTATCATCTAATGTAACACAACCTTTGTCAACTGACAAAATTAGAAGAGAAAATGTATTTTCCTGTTTATATGCCTTTTCTCATGCTGTTTCTTCTACCTAGAATACCTCTTACACCCACTTATCATATCTTTTATTGTCAAAACTGTATTCATCCATCCTTCAAGGTCCAGCTTAAGTGCCATTTCTTTGTGGAAATCTTCCCTTATCCTTACAATCAGAAGTGATATTTTCTTCATGTAATACCTCATGATAAAATTTATATCTTTCTGATGGCATTTAGATGATTCCTTCATTATACTTGCTTTTATATATGTTTTATCCTTTTTTCCAGATTGTAAGAGCCTTGAAAACAGGAACCACATCTTTGTCATCTTTGTATCTTCCAGTGCCTTGTGAATAGGAAGGTACTTGATAAATATTTACTAAATCCAATTTAGTTGAATATAGCAAACTGTAGGATTCACTGTATTTTGGGGCAAATCAATTACAAAGGACAAATCAATAACAAAGGACCAATCTTTAAAAGATTTTAGCTATAGAGCTGGAAGGAACCTTAGCTACTCCAGACTTCTATTTTTAAAGATGAACTACTGAGGTCTAGACAAGTCATGACTTGCCCCAGGTCAAACAGATAATGAGTGGCAGAGATGGGATTTAAACACAGGCAATCTGAATTCAAATCCAGTATACGTGCTCAATCCTGTTCAAGTCTATCTTACTAGAGTATTGAAAGATGTAGGGAGACAATTAGTGTAGTATTACGGTGTATCTCAATGGAAAGGCTTGTAAATAATCAATTTTATTATCTAAACGAAGGGGAAGAAACCATAACACTTCTAAACCCCATGCTATCTTATTGGCCTAGGAAGTGAGGGGGATGACAGCTTCTAGATTTGCCAAAATAGACAAGGGTAAATGGGCTTCATGAAAGTTCACCACCAGTCTTAACCCAGTTGGTTTGAGAGGAAGTAGAAAGGGAGTATCACCACTATTTCCCTCCGCTGTGGCCCTTCCTTATTTGTACTGATATGTTATTAAGCAGGCTGACAGTTCCCATTTCCCCACAGAAACAAGATTTCCACCCCCTCTCAAAGCCCCCTCAATGCTGAATTAAATAAGATAGTATTCATAAAGCACTTAGTGCACTGGCTGGCAGCTTCCTTCCCTTTGCTTCCCCTTCCTTCATTTTATCTTCCCTTCCCAAAAGGTTAGGTTGCTCTGGTGCTGTTCACTAAGCTCTTTATTCCTTTACCAATGTATTGGGACTATACGGTAGGAAATAGCGACATTGGAAGAGCGTCTTCGGACAACAATATTCTTGGTCAGAATCCTGGCTGGAGCCCAGGTAGCTCAGGGCTAAAATGAGGAACAACTTGTGGGTCACACACATCAGGAAGCAACTGTGTAAGGTATGTGCTATAAGGGGTGCTTTCCAATTTATATACATCTATGTTTCACACATAAAAAGTGATGTGGAAGAATATCCCTCCCTCTTTCAAATCACCATGAAAGCATGAGGGGAGATTTATAAAGCAGGAATTAAAGTAATACTTGGTGGAAAATCTTAATAGCAATATTTGAAATATTGTAATTACCTGGAAAAAACAGTTGGCTCCATATCTTTGGAGACTATATTACCCAAATAAATCATCATAAAGTTTTATTAAATGTGAAATTGACATTTCCACTAAGGTAATTGATTTGTCTTCAGTTCAAATGTAAATGTCAAGATTTCATCTACATTCTACATCTACATGGTGTTCATTAAACAAGAAGCCCACAAGTCAAATCTCACACCATTTTATTTACAATAAATGGGCCCCCCAAATGGTACTATAACCTGGTGAAAGTAGCTGGTTAACTGTAAGGCTGAGCTAAATGGCATCCTAACCTCCCATACTAAGGGTTATTTGGCTATGTTAAAACAGCAAATTCAGTTCTATCTGAGAACTGAAGGCTATCTGAGATCTTGAAGATTCTTAAACTTTTCCAGGCTTTGAGCCACTTGGGAACTTGGCCAAGATCTAAAAGAAGGATATTGATCTCCAACAAATCATGTCTTTCTAATCATCAGTTACAGTTATCATAGCCATACAAGCCCCTATCCCAAGTATCTAAAGGATATATGTGCATACATTCATATACCAACCTTCCTCCTCTTTTGGTTACCACCACTCTCTCCTGGTCAAAAGTTTGTAAAAGAAAATGAGTAAATCAAAGAGCATTATGCCAAGGATTCCTTCAAGATACATCTGTGTTGTGATGGACTGCTTGGGCAACAATAAAATATAAAAACTCTTGATGCTGTCCTAAAACCTCTAAGAAAAGTCCTAAAATAGAATAAACCCTAGAGCATTCCCAAAAATGAGAGCCAAACCAGATCTTGCCCTAACATCCTTGTGCTATTTCAGCTCAAGATCCGTACTCAATCACTTAAGATGAAATGGAAAGGTACCTGGGTCCATTCAACAAAATGCTTCCACTACCATTTCCCAAGTCCAGCTTGGTTTCAGGACTTCTTTAAACTGTTAAAAATTCATAACCCCAAAGAGTTTTGTTTATGTGGGTTATATCCATCAATATTTGTTGTTGTTCATTTGTTTCAGTTGTGTCCAACTCTTTGTGACCTCATTTGGGATTTTCTTAGCAAAGATACTGAAATGGTTTGCCATTTCCTTCACTAGCTCATTTTACAGATGATGAAACAGAGGCAAATAAGGTTAAGTGACTTTCCCAGAGTCACACAGCCAGTAAGTGTTGGAGACCAGATCTGAACCCAGGAAGATGAGTCTTCCCTGACTCCAGGGCCAAAACTCCATCCACTGCACCTTATCAATATCTACCTAGCTGCCCTTATCAACATCTACCATATTTTAAATTAAATATCATAACACCCTCAGGAAAATAGGTTTCATCTCACAGATCCACTGACTGGGTCCCCAGGACCCCTTCAGTGGTCCCCAGGCCACATTTAGAGCACTGCTACCCTAGTCCTTTCACCAAGATGCTTTCATTAAGATTCAGAAATGGAAATGCAATGGCCACCTTTATTAGACTGTGAGTTCCTTGATAGTAGGAACTGTTTTTCCTTTCTTTGATTAGCACAGTGCCTGGCATATGTAGATACATAATAAACGCTTACTGATTTATTAGTGAAGACAAGATTTCAAGTCTAAAATATTACAAACAGAAATAAGAGAAAAATGAGGACTGTGGAAAACAGAATAAACATTGTAAAGTACAATTCACAACTTTGCTTGTAAACCAACACTAACCTTCTGTTCCAAAAGTATTGTGTTTGTAGGGATTGCTGCAAAGGCCTTGTAGCTGGACTTGATCTTGTATTGCTAAAATGAGTAACCAGAAAGCAAGAGTGGAGATGAACACAGGAAAGAAGAAAAGAAGATAAATCTAGATTAGTTCTATCAAAGTTAAAAGACCAGTTATCAAATGGAGGAGGGGAGCAGTTATTATGCTAGAACAACTTGTTTCAGATAGAAAAATTAGGCCATCATGTTAATGCATTATTAGAACCAGGAGACGCAAAAAAATACAGCTGTGAGATAACTCCACTGACTGTATCCAATTATATGCCATTCAGTTTCAGAGCTCAGAAACATTGAATTTCCATATAATTATTGATGAAACTATTCATTAACAGCAACCCTAATAAGAACACTATTCAGTAAATAGTCTCTCTTTGAAAGAATTATCAGGCATGTGTCATACATTCATTGTTTATACCACAAATGAACATGATGCCTCATGCAATCTCAATTGACATTAACATGCACCTATGCATGCAGTACTTACAGATAGATAAGAATTAAAAAAGTGTATTGGGTCTTCATTTGAACATATTTAGGAACATAATCAGCAGCAACAATTCATCTTTAGATGAGAAAGGTGCCTTTTGAATTTAGACAAGACACTTTCCCTTTCTGGGCCTCAACCTTCTTATCTGCAGAACAAGGGGGTTAAACTAAATAATCTCCAGTTCCCTTCCAATTTTACAAATCTGTGATGTAGCAGGCAAAGTCCTGGGCTTAGAGAAGACCTGAGTTCAAGTCAAGGGCCTGATACTTACTAGTACTAAGACTGTAGGCATGTCATTTCATCACGTGGAGTCTGTTTCCTTATTTGCAAAAGAGGGATAGTGTACTTACACTATATACATTTATAGGATTGATGTGATTGAAGTACTTTGTAAACTGTAAAGAACTTTATAAATATAACATGTTATTATAAAAATTCAAAAGCAAAACCTTTGACCTTAAATCCACCCCTTTCCTTATTTCATCATTATTCTCATTCTCCCAGCACAACAGTTCTATTCAATAAGACCCGGAGACATAGAAGATAGAGTTTCCTGAATTCGGTTTTGTTACAGCAAATTTGGCCATTTGTCATATGGGAGAAAGCTTGAGGACATTATCTTTCAAGGAGGAAAGAGAAACAGGAAATAATCTGTCATCAAAGGCCTAGTTGTCATGTTACTCAAAAGTCCCAAGGAGCTAAACAAAGTACAAGATTTTCACAGCTTCAGAGGTACTATGTCTCATACCAGCTTCCAGGGAGGCGTCACGCCAGCAAAGAATTGGGCCATGGTTCCCAACTAACCCCACTGCTGAGGAAAATATATCGAAGAGTTTGGTGAAGATGACATTTTAATAAAATTAAATGAAATTTATTTTACGAGTACTTTTAAGCTAAATTGTTTAACAGTAGTTTGAGAATGTTAAGCTAAATAAGGATAGAGCCATAAGCAGCAATTTTGGCACCTGGGGTAACTCATTTATGGGAGCAAAGTGGGATGGGCCAGCATAGGAGCAAGGTCAAAAGGCACACAGGGAGTGAAGCCAAGTCAATGAGAGAAAAAACCAATAGTGTTATTTCCTATTTTATCTAATTATTCTTGCTATCTAGATATTAAGTTCAGTTACTCCTATGTTTCATAACTATAAATATATATACATATTTATATGTGTATATATATGTATGTGTGTGTGCATTCTGAGCCCCAAGAATTCTGTGTAACCTTAGCAAAACTACAATGAGAAAAATCCAATCTGCCTAATTTTTCAGATGAATGGGAGAAAAGAGAATAACTATATAGCACCTACTACATGCTGGGTACTGTGCCAAGTGCTTTTTACAAATATTCTCTCATTTCATCCTCACAATAATCCTGAGAGACAGGTGCTATTATCATTCCCATTTTATAGCTGAGGAAACTGAGACATATAGAGCTTAAGCAATTTGCCCAGGCTCAACAGCTAATAAGTGTCTGAGACCATATTTGAACTCAGGTCTTCATGACTCCAGGTTCTACTACTCTAACTACTGGGAAACATGGAAGCTGACATCCTAGGAGGAGGTCAAGTTACTTGTCCAAGGTCACACAGCTAATACAAAGCCTCATGACTCCAAGACCAGCTATATTACCTTCCTACTCAATAAACTACAGTGGTTTCGCATCACCTCCAGGAGCAAATATAAAATGTTCTGTTTGCCATTCAAAACTCTTCATAATCTAGCCCCCTCCTATCTTTCCAATCTCCTTAAACTTTATTCCCTTCCTCATGCTTTTGATCCAGTGACACTGGTCTCCTGGCTGTTCCATGAACAAGATGCTCCGTCTCTTGGCTCCAGGCATTCTCTCTCTCCATGCCTGGAACACTCTCCATCCTCTGCCCCAACTACTCACCTCCCTAGGCTCCTCTAAATCCCACCTAAAATACCATCTTCAACAGGAAACCTTTCTTAAACCCTCCAGTGCCTTCCCTCTGTTAATTATTTTTTATCCTGTATAGAGCTCACTTTACATATATCTGTTTGCATGTTGTCTCCCCCATTAGATTATAAGATCCTTGAGGTCAGGGACTGTCTTTTGCCTCTTTTTGTATCCCCAGGGCTTAGCACATAGCAGGTAATTAATGTTTATTGATTGATTGATTGATTGATATTATTCCATACTGGCTATCAATAACATACTTGAATAAACTTCAAGGTGTCATTTTTAAAAAATAAAGGATCATAAAGCTGACCACAAAATATAAAGCCAAATATAGTATTACTGTTATATATAAGGTTTCAGAGCACACCAGAAAGGAACACGACTAGTCTCAGAACAGAAAGATCTGCATTAAGTTTCCTGTTCCAGTGTATTGTTGTTTAGTTGTTTTCAGTCATGTCTGACTCTTTGTGACTCGATTTGGGGTTTTCTTGGCAAAGATACTGGAGTGGTTTGCCATTTCCTTCTCCAGCTCATTTTAAAGATGAGGAAACTGAGGCAAACAGGGCTAAGTGAATTGCCCAGGATCACACAGCTAGTATCTAAGGACAGATTTGAAGTCATGAAGAAGAATCTTCCTGACTCCATGCCCAACAATCAATCCACTGAGCCACCTAGCTGCCTAACACGATGCTGCCTTTCATAATGTTACATGGATCAAATGAGAAAATATGTAAAATACTATAAAAACATGGGGAATTTATTGGCATAGGGAACTCTCAGGTGACAAAATTCTCACTACCAATGCACAGTCAGTATTTTTCCTGCAACTTGCAATCTTAAAGAATTGCCTAGAGCACTCAGAGGTTAAGTAGCTTGCCCAGAGTCACAGAACCAAGTATGCGTTAGAGAGAGGACTCAGATCTTTCTGACTCCAAGGCCAGCTACCTATCAACTATGCAACATACTTTCATATAATGATTATTGTCTCTCAAAGGTCTGTCATATATTGCTAAAACTACACCATTGGAGATTCATTCCTTAGGATAGAGATAATATCAATATGACTCTGGATGACCTTAACAGGGAAGGGAATAATCTGTTATGAGTTACGAGTGACTTATGCTCTGGAATTCTGTTATCAGATGCTTTCAAACTGCTTAGGTATTTGGACCAAAAGGACATTAGACGTGAAAAGGCTTACAAATAAGTGACCAGATAGGGCAAAAAAAGTTAGCGATAAGAGAGTCCTGAGGAAAAGGGGACAAAATGAGGAGACTGAACTACTGGGAGACACACAGGGAGAGAGAGATGGAATATAAGGGAGCCTTAGACAAATTCTGTCAACTTCATAATTTTACATAATTTATTGATCGATTGAGTTGATCACAGCCTTACTACCCTTAACCTATACCCTATTACTTTAACTCCTATAGAATCTCTTTTTCTCCATTCATTGGGGTCTAATTTTCTGTTACCCCTGTTGTCTAGTATAACAACCTCTGTTCTGTCTTTCTTTGTTGTCTTGCACAGCCTGGACACTAGAGTCAGTCCCTCCAATGCTGATCTCAGTAGTTTCAGAGAATTCCTTAACAACTTGTCTATAATCTCCTTGCTAATCCCCGGCCCAAAGTCAATGATGGGACCTACATTTTTTGTGCTTAGATCTGAGCTTCTGTTATTAGAGAAACATAAATGGGTCCAAAACAAATCCACCCTATATTGCCACAACTGTGTCCTTATTGTTGTTCCATAATCATTTCACTTATTTCTAAATGGACTCCCTATCACTTTCCTCACAAGTGGCTATTCCAAGCATTCTCACCTCTAGCTTACAATCCTCCCACCCTATTGTTCTGTAGGTGATTTTCTGCTTTATTGAGATGATCTGGGCATCAGGCTTGAACTCTCTCAATTTCCTCCTACTTCAAATTTCTTGCTATTTTCACTAATATCCTAAAACTTATTCCTCTTTTCCAACCAGGCTTGTTGGCAAAAAAGTTTTCTGTTAGCCTGTCCTAGATGCACATTCTGTAGTGCTCTTCAGTCACTAAATCTAACCCATAGCTACTCATGTACCTTATCCCACCCTTTTCCACTTTTAGCTCTAGGAACAGTCATCAAAATCAATGCTACCATTGTTGGAAGTATATGTCAATCAAGTGTCTTCGTTCCTGTGACTTCCCAGTCTAAAACACTCATTCTTTGGCTATAACTCCTTTATTTGTATTGTCTTCTCTTGTTAGAAGGTAAGCTCCTTGGAGTCAGAGGTTTTATTTTGTATTTTTATCCCTAACACATAACAAAATGCCTAGCACATAAGTATTTAATATTTCTTTTTCACTTATTCATCCATTCATTCTTCTGTCTATGTTTATCTCATCTGTTTTATCCTCCTTTACACACCATTTAAAACCCACTGACAAATATGCAAGAATCTATTATGAGTATTCTTCATTTTGATTTTTTTCTTCTAGGAACAACTTTTTAGGGAAGTGGGATCATGAATGAAGAGTATATAGTTATAGGTCAAATCATACCACTCAAGAACTTTCAGTGGTTCCCAATAGTACCTAAGATAAAGCACAAACTCATCTATTTGACACGTAAAAC